CGGGCCCCGGGCCCATATGGCCCGGCCGCCGCTGCTGCACGTGTTCGCAGCGAGCGCGGCCGGAGCCTGCAGCCAGCCTGCTGCTCGCTTTGTGCCTCAGAGTCCCTGCACCCAACTTCACTTTCTGCACCGGCCGCCCCCGCGGGCCCCCTGCCCCGGGTCTGTCGCCCCTGCCTTCGCTTTTGTTTCTTTGCTTTTCCTCTCGGCATTTCAGTCTCGGTTTGCTTCCTTACCCTGTTAAGACAATCAAAGGGAAGGACTTGGAAAGCAAACTTGAAGGCAGATCTCTTCTCCCCTCCCCCTCCCCAGCAGCCCTAGTTTCCCTCGCTCATTCCCTATATTTCTTCTAAGGCTTTTTTTTTTTTTTTTAATTTAAATTTCTTCCTTTGCAACAGCAGAAAGAGGAAAGATCTCTCAGTCAGCCGCTGGGGCATTGAGACGTTTCAGTCTGTCTTGCTGTTTGAACGCAGAAGCATTTTATTTTCTATTTCTTTCTCTTGTAGAGAATTCGCGCTAATTATTATGATTATTTGCCCACTCCCTTCCACTTCAATCCTGGACTCCCCGCTTTGTAGCCAGAGCTTAGGCCGGAGCTCTGAAAGGATGGTATTGTGGGGACGAAGGAGGATGGAGTTGAATTGAAGGAGGGGGTAAAATGGCTGAGGTTAGGAATATTTTTAGGGAAAGAGGAATTTGCATTAAAATACAGAGAAATTATCTGATGCCCGGAAAGGAAATGTTGATTGCCACTGAGAAAAGATGTCAATGCAAATCAGTAGACTACACCAAGAGAATTGTATTTTCATATTTTCTTTGTGCCCCACTCCGTCTGATTTTTAATAATATAGCAGCAATAATAAGAACACGTATTGGTATTTTTCTGAACATCACTAGCAAATGTTTTGCAGGGAGCCTGATGTTAAACATTATTTCATACATTAGGATATAATTCTTGTTAATTAGCAATAATTTACGTTAAGAGCATAGAAAATGTTGAGGTTACAGGTTTTATATCTGTACATTTGATCATCTTGTTATTTTCAAGAACTTTGCCTCCTATAAAATTAATTAGGTGAAATGTGGAGGTGTAATCAGCAACCTCTGAATTACCACTTCATTTCCTGGTTTTGATTGTAAATCAGTTCAGTCACTACATTCAGAAGACTTTAACCAAGTCTGTTTTGTACCGCATTACCTTTAACTATTTGCTACCTAGGAGAATATTTCCATTTACTCCTAAATATTTCCGCTTTCAGAAATGTGTCAGGCCTTGGGAACAGAAAGAGAATCTTAACAGTGGTGTTTAAAAAAAAAGTGTTGTTGTTGTTTTTTGTGTGTGTTTTTTGCCAAGGGTCTATGTACTACTAACTTTAATAAAATAAAATATTTTTCCTGAATCTTTCTTTAGTCTGTAAACCTCAGAACTTGTAGTCAATGCTGAAAAACAACAACAACAAAAACCCCACATTTGTCCATGTGTACTTAAAATCCTGAATTCAAATAGCAGAGATCTGGGACAATGACTTCTCTATTCAGTTTCTCACTTGGTCAAAATGAAAGCAAATGTAGGAGAAAAATGACATAGAGGCATAATGCATAAGCACTTCCGTCTGTCTCTTTTTATTTGAGAAGTATTCATGTGTATTTTGTATTTATACTTTGGTCAGTATGTTGGGCAAAGAAACATAAGTGTTCACCTCGCTGCCTTTATTAGTAGGAATATAACCTTCATATTCCTGTGATGACCTTATGTTAAATTAGGAGGAGTACCAGAGGCTAGAAATTATGACATGTCCTACTTGAGCACAGGTGCAGCTAGGCAGGGCTCTCTCAATATTATTTCACCCAGCACATCTGGGAGTTACTCCAGATCTTCCCCCTCAATATTCAGCCTGGGTAGGGTTGAAATAAATTTAACCTGAGTTCACTGGATTTTTGCACTTTATCAAAATCTGTTCCAATATTCTACACTCAAATTAAAATCTATTTTTTGATTCTCTGTGGCTTTAAGTTCATTAAATGTGAAATTGGCAGCTTGCTAAAGAAGGTCAGACTGATTAACTGTTTAAGACTTGTACATTTTCTGCTTCAGTTTTATTAACTGGCAGCATCCTGGAAGTGTTTTGTATTTTATGATTTTTTTTTTTAATGGCGTAAGCATAAGGTTTCAGAAGCAGAGACTTACCAACTCTCTTTTCCCCTTTGGAAGGTTAAACAGTAATAGAAACTGTTCCAATAGATGCTGGAGTGTTTTGGTGCAAAGTGTTTTTTAAAAAAAGGAAACAGGAATAAAAGACGTATCTACCTTGTTATACCATCGCTGGTGATTATGTGTGCAGAAATAGTCCCATAATGAAGCGTTTTAGAGCTCATTCAGAAAATTAGTCAACTTTGACAACATGAGGCAAAGTATTTCAAGTCTAAAGAAAAAGGGCTTCTCAGCCTTGTTCTGAAATGTGGCGTTTGCTTGACCATTCTGATTTTTATGTGATGGAGGCCACCAAGTACAAACATGTTTTAGGATATTTTAGGCTTTCTTTCTTCAGAATGAAAAATGACTAATTGGCTTATTTTCTTAAGTACTCAAAAGTATCCCATTTAGCTAATGTGTCTGAGAAGAATTGCCAGTGAATTTGGTATTTCTTTGATTTTGTGGCACTGCTGAGCGTGAGATCAGGAAGGTTTTTGGCAGAGTGAATGATGCTGCGTTATGATTATTATTTAGATCCGTTTCACAGGTGAATGCAGTCGTTTTCTTATTATGGCGGTGTAAATGTGGCACATTTTCTGTGTGATGTAGAAGCTTTCTAATTTATGAAGCTATGTCTCTGTATAACTTAGGAGTATATACATTCACACACAAAGGGTGTGTGTTTTTATTCACCTCTCCTTTTATTCTTTGAAACAATAGACAACTTAGTATGTAGGGGAAAAAAAAAAAAGAAACTTGGTTTCAATCTGTGTTTTTACAGGGGTTTTTTTTTGGGGGGGGGGGGGATAGTTATTTAAGCTTTCTTTATGTCCCCTGCCTTAACTTTATTTAATAGTCACATTCTTCCCAAACTCACAAACCAGACACATTTGTAGTGTGTGTGTGTATTTCTGGAGTTTTCCAAGTTAGATTTTAAACATATGATGATTTCTTTAAATATATGATGACTTGCCTCATTGATAAATTTGCTTTCTTGCTGACCACCTCCACAGCTTTGTACATTTTAGGTGTTCACATTTTACTGGGATTTATAAGGAAGAGCCTAGAAATACTTTACATAATGTGGTGGGATGGGATGGGGTTGATAATGTATTTCTGCCTTTTCTCTCCTTTCTGGCCCTCTAATAATTGTGCTTTTGTTTCTCCAACCACAGCCGAACCTCTTGAAGCCATTCTTACAGATGATGAACCAGACCACGGCCCTTTGGGAGCTCCAGAAGGGGACCATGACCTCCTCACGTGTGGGCAGTGCCAGATGAACTTCCCATTGGGGGACATTCTTATTTTTATCGAGCACAAACGGAAACAATGCAATGGCAGCCTCTGCTTAGAAAAAGCTGTGGATAAGCCACCTTCCCCTTCACCAATCGAGATGAAAAAAGCATCCAATCCTGTGGAGGTTGGCATCCAGGTCACGCCAGAGGATGACGATTGTTTATCAACGTCATCTAGAGGAATTTGCCCCAAACAGGAACACATAGCAGGTAAATGAGAAGCAAGGAGAAAAGCTGTTTGCATGTTTTCTTTTCATTTTCAGAGGCGCTGTAGCCAAGCACTGAGGAGTGGTGGAGTGCTTTCTGTATTTCTCCATGTGACTGTCCATGACAGCCTGTAATGTTAAAATAATCATTCCAATTGCTGACATCCAGGACACGATATAAAAATAAATGTTTTCCACTCCACTGAGTCAGATGTAGGTGGAATCGGTACACACACCTGATACCCTCTCTCTGGATCTACTGATTCTGAATTTCTTTCCTTCTTTTCTTCCCTTCTCATTTTTAAGTGTTGAATCTTACTACACTTAGCTCAGTTTCCAGTGTCCCTTTCTAGCCTGGGGGAACAAGTCAGAGACAATGTGGCCATGTAGGCATCTGTAGTTGGGCCAGTGACCTGTTTGAGTCAGAACACCTGGTCAGACCTCCCAGGGCTGCAGTTGGTTCTCAGGGCCTCCACGAAGTGGGCTGGGCTGACAGGCATTTTTGGAGGGGGTGGAAAGAGTTAACTGAGCTTCAGGGCTAGCCTTGGATCCATATTGGCTGTCAGCCCGTATGGGGCTGTAATTAAACACAGCCCCGTGGTGGGATGACACCGTGACCTTGACTTTAAGATGCCATTTTCGACTGGCCAGGCCAGAGTAGAGAGGGCAGTTGCTGAAGCGCACAGACATGCTTACTCGAAAAGTTTAAGGGCATGTTGGAAATTTCAAAAGGTTGGTTTGACAGGAACGGCTGCTCCCTGCAGCCTGCCTCCTCAGCTAAATGATAAATGCTTCTCTGTGCTCTCTCTTGTCTCTGATGTGGTTTTGACAGATGTATCTTGATTTTGTTTGTGGTTTACACAACCACATGTCACCCTTACAAATGTCCAGTCCAGACTTCCACTGTTTGTGCTGTAACACAATATAAAAATTCTCTCAGAAAAATAGGCACAATACATTCAACAGCTCTCCTTCCTTTGGTTAATTTTAGCAGAGAGGTAACTAGCTGGGTTTCTCAGCAGCTCAAGGGAAAAGGAATTAACAGCTAGCAGAGGGACTTACATCCCTACTCTAAGAGATAAACACAACACTATATAGTGGCCCTTAAAGCATTTGTGTGAAACAACAGTGATTTAACACGTAAGACAAACTGAATGCAGATTCTGTGGTGACAAAAATGGCTTGCCTGTCGGTGGATCACTTGCCTCTGTTTTCCCCTGTCCCCTCCCCCAAAGATAAGAGATTTGTTCAGTTTTAGGAAAGATAGTGCATATAATCAATTGATTCACTGTAACTGGTCTCTCTGACCTAGTTTGACCACAAAGTTGAACTATAGTAGGTCAGTGGTCCAGAGGGGATTAAATGTCATATTATTTCTTCTCTCCCCCTCTGGAATTTGGTCATTAAAATCAAACGTGGCATTTCTTTCTTTCTTTCTTTTTAAATGCATCCTGCAATAGTATTCAGGTACTTTTCCTTCAGTGAAATGAGAAATCTGCTCCCAGAGAGGCTGCATTTACAAAATATTTTTCTCGAATCCACAACATTGAGCTTATGTGACGGGTAGGTTAAGATTCTATCCCCCGCGGGGGCTTCCCCCCCACCCCCCAGTAGGATACAGCAATGACCATTTCCATGTGCTGTCTTGTGACTGGAAGGAAAATGAACAGAAGTGTAAGGCATGATTAATGAAGCAAGAGCAAGCGGAAGGGGATTTGTCATCTTCGGAGATCCAAAGCCTTTCTAAATCACCAAATATGGAGTAACACTTGCGTGATGTAACATCGTATTTACATATTGAGCTGCCCGTTTAAAAGACAAAACACAGTGTCTGTCAAGCAAGAATTAAAACCACACTTCTTACTGAGGTCCCAGATAGGTTACTCAGTCTCAGATTAACCAGCTCGAAAATTCTGTGCTTCTGTGCTTGGAGGAGGACTCTGAAAGCTGGGCCCTGCAGTAAAGGCTTTTTGCTGTTATACTTGTGAATCTATGCAGGGAAAGAAAAGATATGTTCCTTAAGTCTCTGGTTGTCGTAAAGGTTTTATTATTATTTTTTCCAAGAAGTAGTACAATAACAGAGCCCAGAGAAGCCAAAAAAAGGGCAAGTTTAAAATATATTTTATAGGTCCAATATGAAATAATTTCACTGAGATGATGGGTGCACAAGTGCTTCGACCCAGGTGAGGTAAACCTTGCATGCACGAATAATTACAAAGCCTTGATTCCATTTCATTGTGTTTAATCACCTGTTCCCACCCTGGAATTGGCTGAACATAAATAGCATGGTCACATCTCAAAGCGAGATGTCAGTAGCTAGCATCACGACTTCTCATAATTCACAGTAATGAATTAAGAGTTTCCTATGGTGAAATTAACATTCTACTATTGCACATAAATTAAGATGCCCTGGCCCTCAGGTGCCTCTGAAGCGAAGTTCTGGAAGACAGCTGTGTACTCCCAGCCCATTTCTCTCAAGCACGTCTTCACAATTCCAAGTCTGCTTCTCTTTTTATGGCGAGGAAGGAAACAATAAGAGTAATCATTCAGTAGATATTTGAATCGTGTCACAAAAATAAAGGAGAAGCAACGCTCTGTATTGGGAAAGAGATGTATTGATGAATCTCTGGAAGAATATGTTTGGCAACCACATAAAAGGTAGTCATTTAAGTGCGCCGTGTAGGAAAGGCTTTATTAAAGTGATGTAAGTTGGATTTGAGCTCACTGTGTGCTCTGGGCCATTTTATAGGCAGGAAGCAGGAATAAAACAGTGACAGATCTTCCTGAGATAAATAAAGCTTAAAATTCAGGGCTTTCAAATAGGAGAATAAGATAGAGTTCTTTAAATCTTCAGTAAAATGATATTCATTTTGACTGTACATAGGCCTCTCAAAGCTGAGTATGTTTTTAGAAAGGATAATTTTTACCTGGTGAATAGATGGGTATGTGCCCAGCACTTCACCCATGTACACGTCTTACCTACACACATATACATTGATCAGGTTGCTTTTTTCACTTTATTCAAATAGTCAAAATATTGTGTGACTGTGATTCACTGAGACCATTGAAATGGTGTTAATGTAACTGGAATTGAGCAGGTTATACTGTGTGGGGCCCAGTTCATCAGTTTTGTGTGTCAAATATCCACCATCAGATATCAGCAGCCTTTGACTGGCAGCCAGGGCTCTTAATAGGGGGGTTGGTTTTGTTTTCTAGTCTCATATTTTATGATGGGGAAATATTAATTGGAGATTAGTGAATGTAAAACTGCTGTTCAGTTATAGAAAAGGCCAAATAATATTATCCTACATATCAGATTTGAGGTTTTGGTTTGTTGCACATAGAAATCTTTAAATTAGGATTGGGCTATCGTAAACATAGTTTTTTTTTTCTTTGAGAGAGAATGGGAGACAATATGACAAATCCTACAAAATTTAGTAAAGTCTACTACTATTGATATGTAACATTTATTTTCCTCCTTACAATCATGAAGAGAGACACTTATATCAGGGTATGTAACAATTATTTGCCTACACTTCATATCTAGATAATACTATGTAAGACAGATACCCTAATGAAGGGAGAACTACTCATTCAGAACAGAAATACATTAGCACGTTACTTAAAGGTAAATCAAGTAGAACATGCTCATGCTTTTCAGAATTTAGAAAATCAACTTGCCTTTTCTCTTTGTGCCCAAAGCCAGCTCAGACTGAACTGGAGGATGTACTTGTATACTTTACAGTGTAATTGTAAATGAGACTATAAACGATAGTATCGTATTACGACTCCTTATTTTTTCATTTTTCTTCATTTGTGTGATTCTGAATAAAAAACCACTGACTGCTGAAGTGAATTTTTAGTAGTATGGCAGCTAAACAACAACAACCCCCAATATACTGATGAACATTTTATTTACCTTCAGAATCCACAGACTAGAGAATATTGTTTCCTACTAAATACCTAGGATTTTCCCTGGGAGCCTATGTTTGTGAGGCCACTACCCAAAGACTCATGTTCATGAGCCTGGGAGCCCTACATACAAGCTGTATTTGTAAATAAGACAGAGAAAGGTTGTGAACTGGCAGCTTGGATGTTTTGTCAAAGTGCAATGTCAGAGAAACTCTAAGACAAATTGTAAATAGAACTGTCACAGTGATTGCATGATTGAGCCGCAGAAGTGTCTTACAATTGTTGGCATTGTCAGAGGACTTTTGAAAGCTTAATTAAACACAGTGGCCCACATGGCTGCTAAATTTACTTCGGAAAGCCAAAAAGGAAAAAAAAAAAAAAAGAAAAAGAAAAATCTAAAAGGTGGAAGAGCCCAAAGATCCCAAGTTCTGCAGACAGTTTCCTTTCGGTGACACAGAAAAGATGCATTGTGCATTTTCCTAGTTGTCTTTTATAAATAATAGTTTTGAGAATAGGGCCACGTGATATGAAGATCCTCCTGTGTGTGATGTGGCGATTGTGTGAGTTTTTCTGTCTCCTGCTGTTCCAGACAGTTAATGTAAAAATGGCCTTTTATTGGAAACACAAATATGTATTCACTTCTAGAACAGGAGCAGAGGGAGAAAGTTTCCCTCCCATTCTCTGTGTTTATTCTCTGAAAGCTTAAGAAAACAGTGCTGTAATTTCTTAAATCACCCCATTCCTTGTTGTGTTTCAAGTTGTGAGTTTTACTCTAAAGGATCTGAAATCTGTTTTGCACACCTTTTCTCCTGGTGAATGTGGCATTTAATTGTGGAGCTGCCCATAGGCTGGAAAAATGCAAGTGGGTGTAGAAACGTGCAGGCAATGTCAGGACAGCAAGCCCTGAGCTCAGGGAAGAGGCGAGTTGGATGCATATTAATGGCACATTTTAGAGTCCTGGAAAATCATTAATTTCACACTGCAGCGTCAATGTCGTTTGACTGATGTGGGAGGACTGCATTGGAGTATACAGCAAACATGCAAATCCTAGGGAAGCATTTTTCAGAATTTCGTGATTTCTCAGTGAAAATG